ATAACACAGTGTCTTATTAAAGTAACAATTTCCAAACTATATTAGGGCCTTAGTTATATAGCAACCTAAATGCTTCAATATTTCACAATATGCTTCTTGCGGAGCCACTCCTTGGTTATCCTGGCTGTGTGCTTCGGGTCGTTGTCATGTTGGAAGACCCAGCCATGACCCATCTTCAATGCTCTGGGTGAGGGAAGGAGGTTGTTGCTCAAAATCTCACAATAAATGGCCCCATTCATCTTCTCCTTAATACAGTGCAGACGTCCTGTCCCCTTCGCAGAAAAGCACCCCCAAAGCATGATGTTACCACCCCCATGCTTCACAGTAGGAATGGTGTTGGGATGCAACTCATCCTTCTTTTTCCTCCAAACACGATGAGTGAAGTTTAGACCAAAAAGTTCTACTTTGGTCTCATCTGACCACATGACTTTCTCCCATGCCTCCTCTGGATCATCCAGATGGTCTTTGGCAAACTTCAGATGGGCCTGGACATGTGATGACTTGAGGAGGGGAACCTTCCGTGCAATGCATGATTTGAAACCATGACGGCGTAGTGTTCTACCGACAGTGACCTTTGAAACTGTGGTCCCAGCTCTCTTCATGTCATTGACCAGCTCCTCCCTTGTAGTTCTGGGCTGATTCCTCACCTTTCTTATCATCAGTGATACCCCACGAGGTGAGATCTTGCATGGCGCCCCAGTCCGAGGGAGACTGACAGTCGTCTTTAGCCTCTTCCATTTTCTAACAATTGCTCCAACAGTTGATCTATTTTCACCAAGCTGCTTGGCAATTGCCCCGTAGCCCTTTCCAGCCTTGTGGAGGTCCACAATTTTGTCTCTGGTGTCATTTGACAGCTCTTTGTTCTTGCCCATGGTAGTAGTTGGCGTCTGACTGACTGTGGGGTGGACAGGTGTCTTTAAAGAGCTCAGACAGGTGCTACTAATTTAGGTTAATGAGTGGAGTAAAGGTGGACTTTTTCAAGGCACAGTAACAGGTCTTTGAGAGCCAGAATTCTTGCTGTTTCTCAGGTAAGTCAAATACTTATGTTCAGCAGTGCAAGACAAATAAATTCTTTAAAAATCATACAATGTGATTTCCTGAATTTTTTTTTTTAATTCTGTCTCTAAGAGTGGGAATGCACCTACAATGTGAATTTCAGACCCCTCCATGATTTCTAAGTGGGAGAACTTGCAAAATCGCAGGGTGTTCAAATACTTCTGTTTCTCACTGTATGGCCACAGCTAAGACCTGACAAATTGATTAAACCAAAAATACATCACATGATATACATTAAACAATTATTTTACTGGATTTGGAATTGCATGTGAAATTCCAGTCTGCACTTGTTTCTTGTTAGCGTCAGCAAGAGCACAGATCCTCAGCAGTAAACATATTCAACATCCACAGAAAACCTTTTGAAGACAACACTGATAGATAGATAATCCATTATTGTCATTGTAACACATACAATAAAATTTTAGAGTGACTTCCAGTCGGTACAGCAATAGAAAAACACTGGCTGGTTTTAAAAACACAGTTCCAGTCGAGAAGTCAGTGCGTAGAGTTTACTGCACCAGTACAGTTCACGTGCCCAATACACTGTCTCTAATAGGACACATAACTAGAAATGTGGCACCATCTCTAAACACTGCATACCTGCCCTCTGGACTCTTCAATCTTTTCATGTAGTTTCTTGCGTAGAACATCCACTGCAGAGAAGTTGGATTCAACATTTCTTCCTTTGATAAGGAAAAAAGGTGAATCTAGTAAGAACTACATTTACGTTTTTCAGTAACAGAATGGTACAAGAGATGTACAAGAAATAATGTGCTACAACAGTAAGAAGAAAACTTGGATGCACATTCTGTACCTTTATGTGTCTGTGCTGTAGCTCTATTTACATTCTCAGCTCCGGACCCATTTTGTTTGGCAGCAGCTGGGTGTTTCTGAGTTGGTTTCTGCTGGGGTTTAGGAGTAGGTGTCCTCCCATCATTGCCTTTCTCTTTGAAATGTTTCTTTTTACACCTTTTCTTCTTCTCTGGGGCACCAGGGTCACTTTTACCCTTGAAATGAGCTAAACACAGAGACAAATTGTATCATAATTTTTTTTATTTCTAATATTTTAGTATTACTTGGCACTGCCTTAGTTTTTTTCTTTTTTGTTTCAGTTTCTAGTTGTTTGTGTTATTATTATTATTTCTTATCCCCCTCAGGGTGCCCATATTCTGCTGGTTTTGTGATTTGTACGCGTGATTTGGCTGCTGTAACAGTGGAACTTCCTTTTTGGGCTTAATAACTGAAAGAAACTTTTGAACAATAAACACAATTCTGCGTAATGAAATTCATTTTGTGCATTTTCCGAACTAGATAGTCATCTCAAGATTTCCTATATTAATCCAGCAAAAAAGTGTCATACATTTCAACGGTGTAGCGCCCCCCTTCGGAAGGCTGCAGTAATAGCTATAGCCTTGAAAACACCCGAGTTTTAGACACTTTTACAAACCTACTAACACATAGAGTACACTGTATTTTCCGAATTATAACACAGAGACGTGAATTATTATCAAGTGTAACGTTACATTTGCCATTGCAGTTAGCTAAAATTACCAAACGGTCTCTTCTTTGGCTCCTGGTCTCGTTGAGAAAAGACTTTGCTTGCAAGTTTCTGGATGTACGAGTCCTTGGAGGCGAGATCCATGTCGAAGACTAAACTGATCTGTCAGCTGTAATTGCGCCAAAACAGGCACCCTAAAACATTAATGTACTAATAAAAATATCAACACACTCCTGCACACACGTGGGTCAAGATAAATGGGCGGAGCGTCTTCAACCCGGAAGTAGTAATATCAGAAAACGTCCCCCTCTGCTAGAAACGTCTGCCATGTAACTTGTGTAGCTGATTGTCTCATAAGTAGCATTTTATTTCACTTTATTTTCATTCATGTTGTGATTCAGGATGGCTTTTCTGAAATCAGCGCTGGCTTACCCCACCAGGGTGCTGCTGACATTAAAAAGACAGGTAAATTATTTGTCGCAATGTTCAGATTTGCCAGATATGCGTCCCCAAGAAAAAGTTATGTGAATGTCATTTACAGGTTTTAAGTTTATTTTAACGTTATGTAATTGCAGACAAATATCATTTACATCAAGAGGACTTTCCTTCTCTCCAGGCTGCCTGTCTTCAAACTTGCACACGGTAAAAAAAAATACTTAATAGATTGAGGGGGGGATTTTGGTAACAGAAAATTCCATAATTTCTAAGTGAAGTCCAAATTCCTTTGAATAAATAGTGGGTTTGATATCATAACCATGCTTAATATATGTGTATATATGACTAATAATGGTTAAACTATTATTACATTTACAAGGTAAAAATAATCATCTTTAGATTTGAAATACTCATGGCAACCAGATTGCAATTATAGTTTATTAGGTACACTTGTACAATCTAATGCAGTTCAGTACAACTGTTCTACCAAAATCTATATTTGTCACTTTTTGTTAATACTGACATAGAGGTGTTAATTATTATATGTTTTACAACACTTTTAGCTGTGAGCCCACTAATAAATGAATAATTGAGGACACAAAAATGGAACATTATCAACTTCATAAAGGTGCCACTTATTGTAGGGCTGTTGTATTGAACTGCATTAGATTGTATAGGTGTACCTAAAGTGGCCTCTGAGGGTATATTACAATTAGATTGCATTTCGCAAATGAGCAATTTACACCATTGTCAGGTTTAAACATTATCATGTGTTGACATATTTATCTTATCATATCCATTATGCTGTCAAAATGACCAAAGCTTCATCTTTAAACTGTAATCCTCCAGTGTAAATGCTTTACAGGGCTATTCCAGTATGTGGATAGTTTTGGTAAACCATCCACTTTAAACACACCACTGTGCTGCATTCACTTCCTGTCCCGTGTTTTTTAAATGTCTAGGAAGGTTCATTAATCTCCAGCGACAGTCCAGCTCCACAGTAGCAGAAGCAGAGAAAGGAGAAGACTCCTTCCTCAAATGGTTCCTGTTGCTCATCCCTGCCACCACCTTTGGCCTTGGTACATGGCAGGTACAGCTTATTTACTTTGTGCCATCACTTTGTTTAATAATGCTTATGTATCTTTAGTTTATTGTTAGATGGTTTCAGATAATTGTGTTTCTGAAGGTGAAACGGCGTAAATGGAAAATGGAGCTGATTGACAAGCTGATAAGACGCAGTACTGCACAGCCCATTCCTCTTCCTCTTGAGTAAGTACGTTGGGCACATTTAATACTCTCCTCACACACACATTGGGTCAAACAGCAGGTCTGACTGGGATTGATTGGAAAAAGCAGTTCAATAAATGCAGCTATATCCAGTCCCCTTTTCTTAGAAAGTTTTATTGATGTATGTTACAAGCAATGCAATATAATAACCTAGCTTCTCAGAACTCCAGTGACACTGCTAAATATTAGAGCCACAATCAACATTGTTTTAAAATGTTATTCTTTCAGTTTTTTTATTTATTGAAGCTAAAATGCCTTTTACTAATCAGAAAAATAAATCATGTGTTGACTCACATCGAGACCATAAAATTGTAATGAGAGAACTTTTATTAATGTTGGCATGAGCACCTTGTTTCACTCCTGTCAGTTAAGAAAATGTCTAAGGCTTAAAAGAAGAGACCTCCAAATGTAATTAATTGATGGCATGTGTAAAACAGACTTGACTTTAGACAAAAATTCAAAATAATAATAATAAAAGGGTAAAACTTTTTTTAAATAAGAAAACATTGTAGTACTGTATGAGTACTATAATGGTGAGCAAGCACCACTGGGGTTTACAGCTTCACACATTGTTTTCCTTAAAAATCTTCACTAACACATACAGTGCCTTGCGAAAGTATTCGGCCCCCTTGAACTTTGCGACCTTTTGCCACATTTCAGGCTTCAAACATAAAGATATAAAACTGTAATTTTTTGTGAAGAATCAACAACAAGTGGGACACAATCATGAAGTGGAACGAAATTTATTGGATATTTCAAACTTTTTTAACAAATAAAAAACTGAAAAATTGGGCGTGCAAAATTATTCAGCCCCTTTACTTTCAGTGCAGCAAACTCTCTCCAGAAGTTCAGTGAGGATCTCTGAATGATCCAATGTTGACCTAAATGACTAATGATGATAAATAGAATCCACCTGTGTGTAATCAAGTCTCCGTATAAATGCACCTGCACTGTGATAGTCTCAGAGGTCTGTTTAAAGCGCAGAGAGCATCATGAAGAACAAGGAACACACCAGGCAGGTCCGAGATACTGTTGTGGAGAAGTTTAAAGCCGGATTTGGATACAAAAAGATTTCCCAAGCTTTAAACATCCCAAGGAGCACTGTGCAAGTGATAATATTGAAATGGAAGGAGTATCAGACCACTGCAAATCTACCAAGACCTGGCCGTCCCTCTAAACTTTCAGCTCATACAAGGAGAAGACTGATCAGAGATGCAGCCAAGAGGCCCATGATCACTCTGGATGAACTGCAGAGATCTACAGCTGAGGTGGGAGACTCTGTCCATAGGACAACAATCAGTCGTATACTGCACAAATCTGGCCTTTATGGAAGAGTGGCAAGAAGAAAGCCATTTCTTAAAGATATCCATAAAAAGTGTCGTTTAAAGTTTGCCACAAGCCACCTGGGAGACACACCAAACATGTGGAAGAAGGTGCTCTGGTCAGATGAAACCAAAATCGAACTTTTTGGCAACAATGCAAAACGTTATGTTTGGCGTAAAAGCAACACAGCTCATCACCCTGAACACACCATCCCCACTGTCAAACATGGTGGTGGCAGCATCCTGGTTTGGGCCTGCTTTTCTTCAGCAGGGACAGGGAAGATGGTTAAAATTGATGGGAAGATGGATGGAGCCAAATACAGGACCATTCTGGAAGGAAACCTGATGGTGTCTGCAAAAGACCTGAGACTGGGACGGAGATTTGTCTTCCAACAAGACAATGATCCAAAACATAAAGCAAAATCTACATTGGAATGGTTCACAAATAAACATATCCAGGTGTTAGAATGGCCAAGTCAAAGTCCAGACCTGAATCCAATCGAGAATCTGTGGGAAGAACTGAAAACTGCTGTTCACAAACGCTCTCTATCCAACCTCACTGAGCTCGAGCTGTTTTGCAAGGCGGAATGGGCAAAAATTTCAGTCTCTTGATGTGCAAAACTGATAGAGACATACCCCAAGTGACTTACAGCTGTAATCGCAGCAAAAGGTGGCGCTACAAAGTATTAACTTAAGGGGGCTGAATAATTTTGCACGGCCAATTTTTCAGTTTTTTATTTGTTAAAAACGTTTGAAATATCCAATAAATTTCGTTCTACTTCATGATTGTGTCCCACTTGTTGTTGATTCTTCACAAAAAATTACAGTTTTATATCTTTATGTTTGAAGCCTGAAATGTGGCAAAAGGTCGCAAAGTTCAAGGGGGCCGAATACTTTCACAAGGCACTGTACATACCAAGAAGCTGTTACATGGGAAATAAGAATGAATTGTCCTGGGATAAATGTGAAGATTTGCTTGTTGTTGTTTCTCTCTGGATTCTAGTCCCCATGAGCTGAATAACCTAGAGTACAGAAGGGTGACAGTACGTGGACAGTTCGACCACTCACAGGAGCTGTATATTGTACCCCGCTCACCAGTTGACCCAGAGAAAGAGGCCAGAGTGGCAGGAAGCCTGTCTTCAAGTGGAGATAGCGGTGCTAATGTCATCACCCCATTCTACTGTACTGACCTCGGGTAAGGTAACGGATACACCAGAAGACTCTTAGCCATGTTATATTACATTATACATTATCCACCAGTCACTGATCTATGCTAGCTCCTGTATGCCGTTGTCGCTGCAGGATCACAATCCTGGTGAACAGGGGATACGTCCCAAGACAGAAAATAAATCCAGCGACCAGGATGAAAGGACAGGTAGGTATTTGAGATTATGACACATGGGACAGGCAGTCAACACAAATCAAGATAAACACCAGAACACAACAGGCATTAATTCCACATACTCACTTCCATGTCCATATGCACCTACTTGTAAAACAAACCAACAAAAAACCCACAGACCACGGCCCAAAAACCTTAAAAATAAACTAAACTGGGGTTTTACAGTACTTATCTAATTGTAATAATGGTGCTGGGATTTCCAGGTAATGTCTCAGTATAACCAGCCTCACAAAAGCATTTACATCACTCTATATAGAAACAGCAACAGCACAAATCTCAGACATGCTTCTGTCCTGCTCCTTTGTAGACTGTTCTTATGCTTCTGTGCAGGTGGATGGGGAGGTGGAAGTGGTCGGGGTGGTCAGGCTGACAGAGACACGCAAACCCTTTGTGCCGAACAATGATGTTGAGAGAAACCGGTGGCATTACCGTGACCTGGAGGCCATGTCCCGTGTCACCGGAGCTGAGCCCATCTTCATTGATGCTGACTTCAGTAAGGTCTCATGAATGACGATGAGGCTCTTTGAATCGGCTAAATCAAATATCAGATTAAATATGCAACTGACTCATATACACTTGGTAATAATTATTCTACGGGTCTGCAGAAAAGAGAAGCGTTATGTATGTTGAATGAAAAATGCAAGCACCTTGTGTCCTGCAGGGAGCACCATTCCTGGTGGCCCAATAGGTGGACAAACCAGAGTCACACTGAGAAATGAACACATGCAGTACATCATTACGTGGTAAGTTTCTGTGAAAGCAAGCTGTCCAGATGCTGTTAATGACTAATGTAACTGATCACCTCTGTCTTTTTTTCTTCTTAGGTATAGCTTGAGTGCAGCTACCTCCTACATGTGGTATTCCAAATTCATCAGGAAGATTAAAGTGTAACATGATTATACTGCAATGAAGCTGTTGTATGACACATGGATACTTAAAAATGCTGCATTATAAACCCCTGATGTAGTGGAGCTACATCAGTTTTAGCCTTCTGCATATATTCACTGACATACACATAACTGGATTATTCTTCTGAAATGTGCAAATAAATTAAACTCTTGCATTCTTTATTTTTATTGGTTATGTTGCCAACTAGTGTTTTATAAACTGATCAGTACTCTAAAACATAACGATACGGGAAATATTCATTTTAACATGTATATTTGACCAAACTGGTGTAGAAGCTGCAGGGAGCTGAGTTAAGAAAATTAATACTAATATGACTTTAGCAGGAAACTGACAGCTGGAGGCCCTCCTGTACAATAAGTAAAAACACTTCACTGTATCCCAGACTTAACCTTTGACTTCCAGGTGTGTGTGGGGAAATAGCCCAAAATGAAAGATGTCTGCACAACTTTAGGGCATACAGTGGGGCAAAAAAGTATTCAGTCAGCCACCAATTGTGCAAGTTCTC